TTTTAGTGCACCACGATAGTTTCAAATGCATCAGATTGATTATAGTGAGGAAGGAAATACGCTAAGGGTCGACCCCACTCTCTCTCCCACCACCAGCAACAGGCCACCGCCTAGCTGTCGTTCGTAGCAATAGTGCTACAAGGGACAACAAAGAACAAGAAGGACTGGTGTTGCCCGAGAGGTGGCACTTAAGTTACTATTGATCGAAATAATATTCTAATATTGATGCTAGTAGTGCCAGTGCCGGCGACGTCAGGGTAGGATATAGTGATGTAGATGATAGGTCAGGTCGAGTCTTCCAGCATCGATTCGCCGTTGGTGACAGCCGGGTAGTACTGAATTTCTACTCTCTCACTTACCTACGTGCAGTTTCTCCATTAGGGTTGCATACCCTACCTGTGCTGCTGCCTCATTTCAGACAGTCAAAGATGCGCTGGAAGATAATCCTACGCGTCACTATCCAGCGGTTGTGTGCAAATTCGCTCCCCCAGATCTGTCGTCACTTTAAAGTGAAGTTACATAGTTAACTCTCTGCTCGCCCTACCTCGTTAACAAAAGTGTTTAAACACGCAACGGAAAGCCCTTTTCCGTCGTTGTTTGCATTTAAGTTGCTAGCCTGCTCCTTTAAATAGATGCTCTTGTTTTATACTTTTAACTGATTAAAATGAGAAGTTAGCCTGTTAATTCATGTTGACAGGTATGGCAGACTGGATTAATCCTAAGTCTAACGACTGAAAGATGCTTCTCTGATTAGATATATGCATTTTCGACCAAATCGGCTACTTGTTAGAGGAGTGAGGGAGTACCTTTCTGCAGTGTCTCTTTTTGACCGTCCATTTACCACGTCCGGTACCTCCTACACTTACGGCTAATTGGTGCCCCTTGAACATTCTCCCGAACACGTGCATTTAAGCGATTGAGGCAATCGAGGGTCATTGTATTTGATGTGTATGGAGGGCCAGCAAACTCCTTGAAAGGCCTACCGACATTTTGAGAACAGATATTACGCAAATTTCGGCGTCTGCCTGTCTGTTCACTTTGCAGCGAATCGGCCGTGCAATAATTACAACTGCTCACCTTAATCCGACAATCGAGGGCTACGCTAATTCAAACAGTCATTGAAACCAAATGCGAATCCTGCACGCCACATCACCGAGTGGAGTTGTGTAAACATCACTCCATCAGGACATCCTATCAGCCCTGTCCCCGCTTTGCTGAACTTCCCGAGTCCCACACCCAGTCTATCTAATCTCATAGCTGTTCGTATTTGCCCCCAACTCTGTCTAGGTTGTAAGGTCCGCTGAGGAATGTGCCCAAACCGTTGCCCGATACCTTCCTGAGGAATTGTGCCTGCGCCTTCTGACCACGGTCATCTTAGACACAAGAACCGAATTGAATCTCCCGGCTGTGAAAATGCAAACACAGGTCATCAAGGTCTCTAGTCCAGAGGCCGTTGCAGAGGTCCTGCCCGACCTTATCCCCGGCCTGATTTCCGTGAGTTGTTCTGCCCCGACCCCCTTCCGCGATGTTTGCGTACTAGTTATTGGTCAGTATTTTATTTATACTGCATTCTTTTTTTTCTGTTTGCAGGCTTGTAGTCATGAGGACAGTGCAGTGAGGAAAGCGAGCATCTTCTGCTTAGTCCAGCTGGCTCTCAAGTTTGGTGACAATATTTGGCCACATTTGGAGGATTTGGCTGCCAGCAAGGTGAGCTTGCCTTCTGTCTGTGATTTTGTTTTGGATGGCCTTTCATTCTGTTTGGTCAAGGGCGTAGAATATGCATTTTCCGTATATGCCCGGCGAAGAAGCACTACTTTGCTTGCACACACGGATTTCTGCTTAAAGGTTGAGTGGCCGGCGGTTCCTTCCTCCCCCCACCACCACCCAATTACGGTGTTCTAAGGCGCCTGACGGATGTTAAACCACAAAATAGCGACAATTGAAATACATGTAATCATTTAGTTGACGTTCTATGAACCCCTCCCTCCCTCCCTCCCTCCCACCCAACTCACTATTTATTTCCTCTTTTTGTCTACAGAAGCGTCTTCTTAAAGTGTACATCGATAAAGAACTTCAAGGCAACATCTCGAGTGAATCGTTGCGGATCGGTTGAATCACTGGATGACCCCAGCATACTCTCCTCAGTCCTATTCTCGCTGATCTTCTCCAAAAACGTACTTATTGCCTTGTATGCAAATGTGTCATTACCTGT